CTTTTAATAAGAAAAAGTTTAAACACATTAAACATCTGTGAGAGCAGTGAGTAGACACAGTGGGAAGAATGTGATTGGTGTCAGTGAATATTATATGTACAAATGAGTAAATGAAAACCTATAATACTGGTATGCTTTCAACAAAAAGCATGCTATTAAGTATTTGTTTATATTTTTGAAATATAAGGGATCTTCAGAACGTTTGTGGAGAAATAGAATTAAAAGATAATGGCATTTTGCTAACCAATTTTTAAAACCCTTGTATATATAAATAGAATTGTATATATAAATAGAATCAGGTATGAAAAAAATCATCCAGGAATAGTGTTAAAAAAAACGGGAGAGAGAGTGATGAACACTATTAGAGAACTGCTGTCAGCAAATTTTATTCACTTCATCCATAGCTATTGATTTCATGATTTCTTTTCCCAACAGGCATGTCAGATCTTAGGGGGGCTCTTTTCTTCTATATTTAATCTCCCAGAACTTTCCAGGTTCTACCTAGTGCTTATGTTGAATGTTCAATATGACCAAGATTTGCTTTCAACCCTTACTATTCTTCTATTGCTACCTTCCTGCTTTGTTTTGTTAAAAACAAAATTTCTGATTGAGAAAAGTAGTACATGCTTATTATAGAAAGTCCAGGAAATATAGAAAAATACAGAGAACAAAAATTTCCTCTAATATCATCTATCTGAGATATAATCTAATATCATCTACCCACATCTGCTGCTGCTTTTAATTCTTCACCCCTACAGTCAATCTCAATGTTTTTCTTACACAAAGAAATTATAATTAATATATGGTTTTATCACTTTTTTAAGCCTATTATTCCAAACAAAACCAAACCCATGGCCATTGAGTCAATTCCAACTCTTAACAATCCTATAAAACAATGTAGAACTACCCCGTAGGGTTTCCAAGGATATAAATGTTTACAGAAGCAGACTACCATCTATATCTTCCTTCCATGGAATGAATGATGGATTTGAATTGCCATCTTTTTGGTTAGCAGCCGAACCCCAGGATGCCTTAGTCCATTGTTGTTAGGTACGATTGAGTCAGTTCTAACACATAGTGACCCTGTGTACAAAACATTGCTTGGTCATGCCCATTATTGCAGCCACTGTGTCACTCTATCCCATTGACAGTCTTCCTCCTTTTCCTGGCCCTCTACCTTACCAAGCAATAATGTACTTCTCCTGATAATGTGTCCAAAGTATGGAAGACAGGTCTTACCATCCTTGCTTCTAAGGACCCTTCTGGCTGTACTTCCAATATAGGTAGGTTTGTTCTTTTAGCAGTTCAGTCATATTCAGTGTTCTTTGCCAACACCATAATTCACATACATCAAATCTTCTCTGATCTTTCTTATTCATTATCTAGCTGTCTCATATGTATAAGATGATTGAAAATTCCATGGTTTGGATCAAGTAAACATTGGTCCCCAAAGTGACACCTTTGCTCTTTAACACTTTAAAGATGTCTTTTACAGCAGATTTGTCCAGCATAATACGTCATCATATTTCTTGACTGCTTATTCCATGGGTATTGGCTGTAGATCCAAATACAGTGAAATCCATAACAACTTCAGTGTTTCTCCAATTATGATATTATTATTGGTCCATTCATGAGGATCTTTATTTTCTTGGTGTTGATGTATAACCCATACTGTAGGCTATATTCTTTGATCTTCATCAGTAAGTGGTTCAAGTCCTCTTTGGTTTCACCTAGCAAGGTTGTGTCATCTGTTTATCTCAGGTTGCTAATGAGTTTTCCTCCAGTCCTGATGCTTTGTTTTTCTTCATATACCAAGCTTCTAGGATTATTTGCTCAGAATACAGATGGAATAAGTATGGTAGAAGGAAAAACCCCTGACACATACCTTTCCTAACTTTAAACCATACTATATTTCTTGTTTTATTCAGCGGAATGCTTTGGTCTATGAATAGGTTAAACATGAGCACAATTGAGTCTTTTAGAATTCCCATTCTTCGCAATGTTGTTGTCATTGTTAGGTGTCATCAAGTCGGTACCAACCCATAGCGACCTTATGCACAGCAGAACGAAACACTACCCGATCTTGGGCCAACCTCACTACCGTTACCACACTTGAGTCCATTGATGCTGCCAGTTGACCAGTTCATCTTGTTGGGGGTCTTCCTCTTTTTCTCTGACCCTCCACCTTACCAAACATGATATCCTTCTCCAGTGACTGGGCCCTCCTGACAATATGTCCAAAGTATGAGAAACGAAATTTGGCTTTCTTGGCCTCCAAGGAGCACTCTGGCTGCGCTTCTTCCAAAACGCATCTGTTGGTTCTTTTGGCAGCCCATGGTACTTTAAATATTCTCCTCCAACACCGTAACTCAAAAACATCAATTTTCTATGGGCTTCCTTATTCACTGTCCAGCTTTCGCATGCATATGAGGTTATTGAAAATACCATGGCTTGGGTCAGGCACACCTTACTCCTCAAGCTGACTTCTTTGCTCTTCAACACTTTAAAAAGGTCTTGTGCAGTAGATTTGTCTAATGCAATACATCCTTTGATTTCTTGAGTGTTGATAGTTGATCCAAGAAGAATGAAGTCCTTGACAACTTCAGTCTTTTCTCCATTGATAAGAATGTTGTTTATTGGTCCATTGGTGAGGATTTTTGTTTTCTTGACATTGAGATGTAATCCATACCGAAGGCTGTGCTGTTTGATCTTCATCAGTAAATGTTTTAAGTTCTCTTCACTTAAGCAAGCAAGGTTGTATCATCCGCATATTGCAGGTTGTTAATGAGTCTGCCTCCAATCCTGATGCCATGTTTTTCTTCTTATAACCCAGCTCTCGAATTATTTGCTCAGCATACAGGTTGAATAAGTCTGGTGAAAGAATACAATCTTATCGCACACCATTTTTAATTTTAAACTATTCAGTGTTCCCATGTTCTATTCGAATAACTGCTTCTTGGTCCAGGTACAGATTCCTCATGAGCACAACTAAGTATTCTGGAATACTCATACTTCGCAATATTGTCCATAACTTGTCATGATCCACACAATCGAAAGCATTTGCGTAGTCAGTAAAGCACAGGGAGACATCTTTCTGATACTCTCGGCTTTCAGCCAAGATCCATCAGACATCAGCAATGATATCCCTTGTTCCACAGCCTCTTCTGAATCCAGCTTGAACCTCTGGAAGTTCTCTGTCAATGTATGATTGTAGCTGTTTCTGTGTTACCTTTAGCAAAACTTTACTCGCATGGGATATCAAAGAGATTGTCTGATGATTTCCGCATTCCATTGGGTCGCCTTTGGGCACGCATTCCAATGGGCACAAATACAGATCTCTTCCAATCAGTCGGCCAGGTGGTTGTCTTCCAGATTTCTTGGCAGAGATGAGTGAGTGCCTCCTGTGCCCCCTCACTTTCTTGAAATATTTCTATTTTTATTCTTTCTATTTTTATTGTTCTTTGCCAATTCGTTCAATGCATCTTTGACTTCCTCCTTCAGTATCATTGGCTCTTGATCCACACAGTTGAATGCCTTTGTATGTGTTAAAAATATGAGTCCTGGTGTGGTACTGTAAGGTAAGCACTGGACCACAAGGTCAGTTTGAACTGCAGGGTCAGCGGTTGAAACTCACCAGCCACTCCTTGAAAACCCTATGCAGGGCCTGGACAGCACTTGAAAACAACAACTATGTTGAAAGTATTAACTATGTTGTTGTTTTTGTTGTGAAGTGCCAGGGAGTCAGTTATGACTCATAGTGACCTTGTATGGGATTTCTGAGGTTGTAAATCTTTGCAGGAGCAGAAAGCCTTATCTTTCTTACATGGAGTGGCTGGTGGACTTGAACCACTAACTTTGTGGTTCAACAGTCCAGTTCTTGTTGTTGTTGAGTCAATTCTGACCCATAGCAACCCTGTATAGGGTTTCCGAGAAGCAGCTGGTGAGCTTGAACCACCAACTTTGCAGTTCAAATGGCTTTACAGTCCGGCGCATTAACCCACAGCGCCACACCAGGACTCCAAAACATAACACTGGCAGTGACAGTCCAGTAAGTCTGCTTAATTTGGGGGTTGGGAGTGGGGAATGCCAATTCTCAATTTAAAAGATAATTCTCAGTTTAAATACCAAAATATTCTTTTGATGTTTTGCAAGATGATCTGACAAGAAAACTGGTCCTAAAAAGATTTAAATGGTTTTATGAGGAAGTAGTTTTCCAGAATTTGACTGGAGACTGCTTTTAAGGAAAGGATGTTTTAGAATACATAATAACTGGAAATCTGTTTTAAATAATACTTTTCAGAAGGTTAAGAAAAAGGAATGATGTGAAAGGAAGCCCAGAATATATATAAAATCAAGAAGGCCAGGATATGTAAAAATAAAACTAGTTATAGGGCATAAAGAAGATGAGTTTTTAATAGATGAAGTAAGTTACTTGAAGAAAAAAAGTGTAAGTATTCTAAAGTATGAAGATGATAAAGAAAAATGAGAAAAACATGTAAGGAACTGATTGTAAATCTCAGTGCTCTGAATGTATTTTGGTAGAAAATAAGAACAGTGTAGATGGACCACCCCGAAGAATGCTTTTTGTTCTTGTCTGTTGTTAGCACTTGCTGGCACTTTTGTGATTGTATCATTGAGGCTCCCATGGTGGTTAACACATTTCCTTTGTTTATAGAACATGCAGTCTGTTGAACGTTAAAAGTGATATGAAGTTATTTGAAGTTTGTTGAATTGGCGTGATAAAATAATTATCTTGATTTGTAATTTCTTTTTAATTTGAGATTTACGTGTGCTCTTATCACAAACATACTAAAAGCATTCTTGTTAATCATAAAAAGAACTTGAGTATTTTTAAAGTTGCAGATGATCATTTTGACTGTAAACGACAAAAACATGTACCTGATGAGTAAAGTCTGATTTTAAAGCAGAGAATTTTTCTTCTTTGTAAAACTGAAAGTCGCATGTCCTTAATACTCTTGCGCCCTTTCTGTCTTATTCAGGGAAGCAGTGTTTCTTAGTCCTCCGTCAGCAGCAGTTTAATGTCCAGGCTCTTGTGGCTGTGGGAGACCATGCAAGCAAGCAGATGGTTAAATTTGCTGCCAAGTAAGTAAGCAATTATATCCTGTTGTCAGAATAAACAATGGTGGGAACCAAGACTCCCAGGGTTTGGACCATTTTCATACATTAACATCAATGCTTCGTTTGTTTAAAAATGTAGTTCTTTAAATTGTCAGTTCAGTGTTGTTGAATACATTAAACTTACAAAAGAGAAAATATGAAGCACAGGCTTGAAACTCATTTGGACTTGCTGAAGCAGCACTTTGCAGACAAGTCACATTTACTTTCAAGTAGAGGAATAAAAAACTTGGCAGCCTCAACATAGCAAAGAAAGTTTATTTTGTTGTGTTTGTTGAGCTTCATTTCCTCCCCCCAACCGAAGATTTGCATATAAGCAACAAGTTTTTTTAACAGAATAATATGTGTATAAATTTTTTAACTATAGTTTTGCAAAGGATTTCCTCCAGAAGGAAGTAAAAAGACATGTTATAACATTACAGCTTTTAACTTTGACACTAAAAAGGTACTGAAAATGGAAGAGGGTATAAAAAATTGCTTGCTTGATAACCAGCTCAGGGTTTTCTTAGAAGTGCATTATTTTGTTCAGTTTACAAGAGGCAAGCTATAGAGACAAAATAGGAATGTGGTTGTATGTGCTTGGACTTTAAATTAATAAAAGTGATTTTACCTGATTGTTGGTGATAATGGTTAGTTTTGTTTTCTCAATTTAATTGGATTTTCTCCTCCATGATAATGATTAAAGCAAACATGGAAAAATGTACAATCTCTTCCCTGGCCCCAGTAGAGTGCTTTACATAGGTATTAACTGGTTTTGATTTCTAAAGATTTATTCATTAAATTTTTATTTTTAGTGTAGTAGGATCTTTGCTCTGATTTTATAAAATTCTGTGCTATTGGTGTCAATTCATTAATGAATTCAGTAATATCATTGTAGCAGCCCCACCTCTGCGTATCTAATTAGTCCTTCTACCTTAGTCTTTTATACCTTCTGTTGAGTCAGTTTGCTTGCTCTTCTCTCACAGTCTGTAAGGCGTGTTCTGATGGGATGCATTAATCAGTCTCTGTTCTGTGAAGTGGGTTGTAAATGGGAGTGTGATTCCTAGGAATAAACTTTATCTACACAGAGAACCTTCTATAAATAAAGAAGATGGGCCAGGGAACCACAACATATATGTTAAATTATAATTGTTGTTGTTAAGTGCCGTTGAGTTGATTCCAACTCATAGCCAATTATAGGGTTTCCAGGGAGCGGCTGGCAGGTTTGAAACACCTACGTTGAAGTTAGCAAGCAGTCCAGTGCTTATCCTACAGTGCCACACCAGGACTCTAAATTGTATGTAATGTGAAGTCCTGGTGTGACACTGTAGGATAAGCAGTGGATTGCAAGGTCAGTTTCAACTGCAAAATTGGTAGTTCAAACCCACTAGTCACTCTTATGAATCCTATACAGGATTCAAAGTGAATCCTATACAGGATTCACTGTGAATCAAAAACAATTCAACAGCACTTAACAACAACATGGTGAAAATACTGGGAAAAATTTAGCCAGAAACAAAAACAATTTTACTGATTATGTCTTTCATTTGTTGAATTCGTTCTGAAAATTAGTATATAAAGCTGGTATTTTATAGAGAGTATATTTTCCATTAAATTTCATTATAATCTTGATTTAATCCTGAGACTTACCTAGGAAATAGCAATTGACCATACAGGATGTCAGCCTAAATTTACTAGCTAAACAAACTTTCTGCAAATTCGTTCCTCCCCCCCCCCAACAAAATTTAATTTCACTAACGCCTTCATAATATACAAATTAAAGAAAGACTTTCATCTGAATGGGTTCATGTAAGAATGACCTTTGTTAAGATAAGGAAAAGGTTTGGGTAAATTAGCATAAATTTCATAATTCCTAAGGTGGAACTCATTGACAATCTGGATGTAATTCAAGCATGACAATTACGTTGTGATGTGGTGGTGGTGGTGGTTGTGTGCTGTTAAGGCGGTTCCAACTCTTAACAACTCTGTATAGAGTTTTCAAGGCAGTAAATCTTTACAGGAGCAGAAAGCCTCATCTTTCTCCCACAGAAAGGCTGGACCACAAGGTTGGTTTGAACCATAAGGTCAGTGGTTCAAACTCACTAGTTGCTCCTTGGAAACCCATTACAGGGTCACTATGAGTCGGAAGCGACTTGACAGCATTTAACAATAACAGCACTCTTCAGTGACAAGTCACCTATATTTTTTAAGGTGTAAAAACATGGAAAAAAGCCACCACCATGGATTCTTCTTGCATGTGAAATAATGATTTTTAATATTTACGAAACTTACTCAACAAGTAAAATTTAGAATAATGATTGCCTTTGTTTTATCTTATCTTGCTTCCCAGTGCCTTGCATGCATTTTTATACTTGTTTGTGCAACACCCATCAGTTCCCTGTACCAAGCCTGAAAGGCTCAATGCAGTGATCCCCAACATCTTCCCCATTTGATATACAGAGAAAGGATCAGGTTTATTTATAATTGTATCACAACTACAAAGCATGGGACTGCTAGGTGCTGTATTTGCATTTCTTAACTTAATCCTCACAGCAGCCCTATGAGGTACAGATACTGTTTTATTTATTTTGGGGGGGAGGGGATCCATTCTTTTGTTGTTGTTGTTGATTGTTGTCAGGTTGATTCCATGTGACAGAATAGAATTGTCCCACTAGCTTTTCTTGGCTGAATCTTTATGAAAGTAGATCGCCAGCTTCTCTCCAGTGGAACCACTGAGTTAGTTCAAACCACCAGCTTGTGGATTATCTGCCTAGCACTTAACCATTCTGCCATTAACTTCCATTCTTTTTTTTAGTGTTTTATTGTGAATTATATGATAGTTTACATGGGAGAACATTAGTTTTACATTCATTCTATCGTACATCGTATCATTGCCATGGTTACTGTCCCCTCCATGCATCATCAACCAACCAAAGGGTACCCTGCAAGCCTGCCCCCTACACTATCTTCCCCCTACCACCAGTCTTCAGCACACAGTCGCTGTCACTCTCTGGATCTAAAGCCCCCAGCTGCTCCATCACTCCACGTCATTGTCTCTGCCTCCATCTCAGGCATCACTTTCTCTGGGTAGGGTCCCGCTCTTGGCTTTTCTCCGTTGATGGTCCTAGGGACCTCTGCTCCTAGACTGAAAAGTTAATCACTTCCTTCCTTGCTATAAAATGTCTACCTTTACATTTCCAACCTTCACAATCAGTCCTGATAACAATTATTCACTATTGTATCACAAGAGACCCATCTGCATTTCATTTCATCAACTCCGCCTAAGCAGATTGGATGCTACTCACTGGAGATTCTGCCTTCCTCCAGGCCCCCTGGCTCTAGGTTCTCTCTTGAAAGTTTGTAAGTCAGTCACTTCTTGCCTTTGTAGCCCTACCCCCCCATTTTGGGTAGCCAATGTCCTAGTTGCCCATCCCTGTCTACTCTGTGTGTGGAGGGGGTGGGAATGATTTTTGCTGTAAGAATTTGTTCCCTCTTTTGAGCTACTGCTTCCATAGGTGTAGGTCAAGTTCATCAAAATGCATCAGATTACTCTTTTTTTCCTCTTCTTTTCTTCTTCTGGTTGAGCTCTGATCATCCAGTCATTGAAGCCAGGTCAAGTGGGTATTATCTGCAAGTGTGGGTGTTCTTGTGCATAACTTCCATTCATTTTTACAGATGAGGAAGTTAAGACTTGAAATAGTATTTTGGTTAAGGTCTCTTTGACTCTAGGGCTTATTCTCTACCAACCTATTTGCCATCTTTCCTTTCTGGGACAGGATGACAATGTTAGTCCAGAGCCTGCCCAGTATAACTTTACTCAGAATACAACCTCTGTGTGCTTGAAATGTGGTGATGACTGGGAAAGGAAAAACTGCTTCTTGCCTTAAAAGTGTCTTTTCTAGAGTATGTAGTTCATTTTGATACATAGCCTCAAAGTTTCCTTATTAAGGGCGATAGTGATTTTTTTGTGTGTCAAATTATAAAGAGCCAGGATTGATAAAAATACTGATTTTTGTTTAAAAAATATAACTGATGATAAAGAGATTTTTATGCTTGTTATAAATTGATGCTAGAAACGGCTCCAGAGTAGGAATGTAGAAATTTTGGCCATTTTGATACAAAGGAATTTGGATGTTCTGTGAAGTGGTACTTGGCCTTCTTAAGGAATCACTTCTTTGGTAAAAATCATGCTATGAAAATGGGGGTGGGGAAGAGGTTTAGTAGTTAGAGATTTTCAGGTTTTCAAAGCAGTAATTTTTTCTGAACTGTTTCAGTAATAAATACTTTACATCAATAATTACAACAGTGAAAAATAAAGCACCACTAGGAAAATCTAGTATTAATTGCATTCATTTACTCCTGTTTAAGTTTTTGCCTTTTTTTCTTATCATCTGCACTGTCATTAACACAGTGCTTCTTATACATTATTAAGACTCTCATTGTTGTGAGAAGTAAAGCACAAAGTCACCCAACAAAGCAGCTGTGTGGTATAAGCAACTGATAATGAAAATAAGACCACAGACCAAGAATTTATCCTTTACTAATATTCTGGAAGCAGGAAGGAAATGAAAGAGATTGGCTAGATAAATAATACTGCTCTTTAGCAGATCAAATTGTAAACTTTTGTTATATACTTGTAGAAACTAAAATCCTCTCCAGGAATTGCCTTATGATCAGCAAGAAAGAGACATTCAGGTACGGTGTCCTTTCCGGTTAGTTTTTTATACAGGGGTGCTAATAGGCATTGAGTTCTGCTGTAATATGATATGCTGTTGTTAAGTGCTGCCGAGTTGATTCCAATACAGGAACTCATAGCAACCCTGTATTGGGTTGCCAAGGAGCAACAGGAGGTTGGAATTGCTGACCTTGTGGTTCAGTCCAGTGCTGATCCAACAGTGCCACACCAAGAGTCTGTAATATGATATAAGCATTCCCAAAAATCACCAGGTTCCACAAAATTGTGAGTAAAAACCACAGGGCTTATGAAA